CCGCCGGCTCGTATTGCCGCCTTCATGGCCCTGAGCGGAGGCAGCCCTCCCCCAAACCAACTAGCCTATAGGTTCTTCTTTGAGCAACTTAAATGCCAGGATTCCCTAGAGTAGGGTACCTGTTGTTAGTACTGTAGGTCCTTGCAAAGAGGATTATGCTATCTGTGTTATGTGTCGAATCTAAGGGGTCCCCTGCGGTCCGTTGAGGCGAAATGAGGAACAAACACCTCAAGGAAGGTTGCCGACCCTTCACAAACTGAACTGGCTGAAACGGACAAGCCTGAAAGGGGTCCCCCCTACATGGGGAAATGCCCCAATTAAGTTGCCATAACACGGTATATAGTAAGCAAGATAGCATTTGTTTCCTGGATTGCTGCCAGCTCCATTCTGACGCGGCAACACGTCCCCGCATCACCCGATGAAACCTCTGCAACAACAAGCGCCAATCCAAGAACTTTCCGGACTAGCCCTAGCCCTACTACTAGTCAGAACCCCCCCCCCCCCCCCCCCGCTAACACCTCCCCAAATATCCCAGCTGCGGGGTTCGAGATGTTGGGGCTCTAGGGCTTTAACCTCTACCTGGACTCTACCTCGTGGCCCAGTAACCATATTACAATAAGAGTACCCTGTTTAGGGTTGGTTACTTCATGAGTGAACCAAAAACCAAGAAAATGTTTTACTTCGAAAATCCCCACCCTCTCTTGGTAGAGATACTCTGGGGTTGGGCACTCCAGGGACACTCTGGGGCTGGGCACTCCGGGCACACTCTGGGTTGGGCACTCCAGGGAGACTCTGGGGCTGGGCACTCCAGGGAGACTCTGGGTTTGGGCACTCCAGGGACACTCTAGAGTTGGGCACTTCAGGGACACTTTAAGGTTGAGCGAGGAGCAGACCGGGCGAGGAGAAGAGTTCCGGGCGAGGAGAAGAGTTGAGTTTAAAATCTAACAACCCCACACCAAGGGTGGGGAAAAAGGTTAAAAGGGTACCGGGCAACCAAGCAATTCGACACCCAAAGCTCTAGAGGCTCCAAAGCCGGTTCGCCCGAATCTGTGCTGCCCCAGGGGCGCCGCAGGCGCCGGCGGAAGTCGCGCCACTTGCGCGGCTTGAGCCAAGTCGGGGAAACAACAGAGAAGCCATGGGTGTGGCTCGTTAATGTTTAGGGTGGGTGTTGGGGCAGCTAGGTTCAGGGCTTTCGGGGGTTTTAGGCTGATGCTTGTTCAGCCTGTTTCTGCCACCTAAACTCATAACCCAAAGCCCAAACCCTTGGAAATGTTCCTTTCTTCGCTGCTTGCGTCTGTCCGCTGGCGCTTGGTTGCAGGGCCGTCGTCGGGGCGCCGGAAAAGGAAGAGCTGGGTGAAGATGCCTGAGTGTGTTCCCCGGCACCTTTAGGAATTAAACAGGAATCCTTCTTCTGCCTAGTGTGAGACTTTCCTCAGGGAGCCTCGACACCTACACATGCTTCCCCAAGCCCTACAACCAAAACAAATGCCACTTGCCACCTCCCCCCTCCCTGACGCCTTAACCTCCTAAGCCCCGAAACCCAAAACCCTAACCCCTAAACCCTAAACAGCAAAACCATCAGCCAGGTCGCCTTCAAAGGTCACATGCTCCTCATCAGTGAGCTGTTCTTGCAGCTCCTGCAGAGCGTTCCAGGTAAGGTTTAGGGTGGAAGGTGTCCACCAACCTCTAGACATGGGTGCTTATGAGGGCATTGCGGATGAGAGTCAGGATGACTATAGAAGAGGGAGGCCGGCTGGATTCTCAAGCAACTCTCAAAGCCCTTGTTATGGTTTAGGGTTTAGGGTTGGGCTGTTCCCCCATATTACTAACAGTCCTTACATAATCGGGTGAATAAAGGGGGGGGGGGGTACTACAATCCCAAGAAAGGACTGTTAGTATAAGGGGGAACATCTCAAGTTCAGGGTTTTGCTTTAAGTTCCTTAGGAAGAGCCACGCCAGGGTCCGGCCTCGGGAACCTGCTTGGCATGCGTGCGTTTTTGGGGCCTCTTGCTCGCAGACGGCTTGAGAGACAGCCATGTTTGCAATGCGCATATGGGGTTCAAACTTGAAGCTAACCGTCCCTAAACCCTAAACCCCCCGAACCCTGAACCAGGAATCAAGCCAAGTGTGCATGCGACGAACTCGTGACATTGGTGGTGAAGGTCTGGGGCTGTGGTGTAGAATTCCAACCCGACAACGTGCAACGCTGCAAGACAAGAGAGCTCGGAACTGCACAAATACTAAACCCGAAACAAACGCTAGGGTACTAGGGTTCCCTAAAGGGAGGGGGTTCCGGCCAGGAGCCTGGCAACATTAGGGAAGCTTCGGGAGCACGAGGGAATGATAGGGAACTTTGATTTACCAGCTAGAGCTGTTAGACCGTCCCAAGACCCATAAATTCATAAGGGGATGGGATGGAGGTTTTGAAGGTCATGCTATGGGCATGGGCAGCATGGGGGGGGGGGGGGGGGGGTGTTCTGACAGCAAGAAAAAACTCTCCAGCACCAAGACAACCTCGACAATCTTCCTGATCGAAATTGCATGGCCATGAAAAAGATTCTTCTGGCGCCTCATGCATGCTGGCCGAAGGACCCTCAATGCAACCCCCAGCCGACAAAGGTTTCAGGGGATTCAGAAGCTGTACTGAGAACAGATGACACAAACGGTATTTGCTTGCACAAACAAGCCACCTCCCGACCTGCAACAAATGTATCAAGCTCCTCGGTGATTTCTGAGATCCTGGTCAGCACACCCCCGACCGGAATCTTGCCAGTCAAGAAGTCGTTGCTGGCCTGGTCTTTGGTGGGACGTGATGCCCGTTGAAATGTCCCTAGACCCCAAACCCCTACAGGGGAAGGGCTCGGGCTTTGCGTCTCTCAAATCTGGATGCGAATCTTGCCAACTGGGGTTTGAAGATCCAGCAGGTGTGAGGCAAACCTCGACTTGCGAAGCCAGAAATCTGTAGTTTGGCCAGGCCTACTTCTTGACACATATCAATGTGTGATGAAGATAGCTCGCGACATCGATGGATAGACATAGATAGAGAGAAAAAGCAAAAGAGATAGGGAGAGAAAGAGAGAGAGAGAGAGAGAGAGAGAGAGAGAGAGCGAGAGCCAGCGCATGTGATATGCCTGAAAGCCTTGCAGACAGGAATCCTGAAATATTGAGCAACGGGGCGGATAAGGAGAAAGGCTGCAAGAACAAGGATGCAGAGCTTGTGCATCGGACCAAAATCACCACATATGCTATACTTGTGGGGGGGGGGGGATTTGGCAACCCTTTACAAATATGACCCGGCATTTAACACGCATTCTAAACAAACCCCTGACTGACGAAATGCCAACGCCTTCGAGCGCGGATTGCCGAAGTCGCGCCAAGACAGCGGCCTGGCTGCATGAGGAACCAGGGAACTGGGGTTTAGGGTAGAGGGCGAAGGGAAACCCTAGTGCCCCAACATCGGTATAAAGGGAGGAGTTCTAGGGTTTGAAATCCCTGGGTTTGAGACAAGAGCTTCGGCTTTATAGGGTTTCCGGGTTAGGTGGTTCTACAGGGGTGAGAACCAACCAATGCGTGAGGGCTCGAAAAATAAGATCCCTTTGGGGGCCGCCAGTTCCACAAATCAGCACAAGTCAGGGCACCAGAAAATGACCCCGAAGGTTTGGGCCCTGAGGGGTGAGCCCAAACTCCCGTTGGATCTCCTGTGCCCTCAAAACCTACAGAGGCCTAAACCCTACTAAACCAAAACGCAAACCCTAACCCAAAACCCGAAACCCTAAATCCCAAACCCCAAACCTGAAATCCCAAGCCAATCCACCCAAGGAACCCCTAAACCCTCAACCCTCAACCCCAACCCTACACCCTAAACCTTATAAACCCTAAACCCTAAACCCTAAACCCTAAACCCTAAACCCTAAACCCAAAACCCTAAACCCTAAACCCTAAACCCTAAACCCTAGCCCGAAAACCCTAAAGCTTCTGCGTGCCCAAAGGCGCTGCAAAGCGGCGCTCCAGGCCGGTCGGCCGGAGGAGCTCCTGGGGGCTATGTTGAAGAGCGGGGCGTTTAGGTGTAGGGTTTCGGGTTTCGGGCGTAGGGCGTAGGGTTTAGGGTTTAGGGTTTGGGGTTTGGGGTTTGGGGTTTAGGGTTTAGGGTTGGGATTCTATGGATGTGGGTTGCTTGGGATTAAAGTAGGTACGCGCTTCGGAGGTTTGAGCGTTTGGGCTGTTTGCAGGACTTAGCGGCGCTTAAACGCTTGCTTAGAAGCAACATCAAGGATTGTAGGGGTCAACGGATACGAGGATGCCGGGTTTGTACAAGGTTGGGCGATGTAGGGAGCCCCCAGAAAGGGTTTCTTGTTGGGGTTTAGGGTTTAGGGTTTGGGGTTTGGGGTTTAGGGTTTAGGGTTTAGGGTTTAGGGTTTAGGGTTTAGGGTTTACGGTTTAGGGGCTCGAAGCACATCCCGAACCGAAGTTTATCTCCCGCGTGTGGCCGAGTCGCGATGGCAAAGCCCGCCCCGGCCATCAGGCGAAAGAAGCGCCTCTCGGCGATGGGCTTGCGCCACCTTTAGGGTTTAGGGTTTAGGGTTTAGGGTTTAGGGTTTAGGGTTTAGGGTTTAGGGTTTAGGGTTTAGGGTTTAGGGTTTAGGGTTGGCAGAGAGGACTTCAGGCTTAGGGCTTGCTTGGGGTTTAGAGTCTGCCCGTCGCGAATGTGGGCCCTTGATTCTGGATTCGTGCATACCGAAATCCCTGTATATGCCCGGAGTTCAAGACACAGGGTCGAGGGCCCAGGCCGTGATAAATGGCCACTCCTTGATGTTGGCCCTTCATCTAGGGCCCTTTCCCCCCCCCCCGCCCCTGAAAAGGAGAATAAAACAAACGAAACCCTAAACCCTATAAACCCTAAACCGCTGATTTTACCCTGCTCCTCAGGTCTACTCTACCGATCGGACCGTATCGTAGCCGAGGCCGATGCCGGCATGACAGCAGAAAGATGCCTTCCGGCTTCAGCGCTCCTGGGTGCGAGGGTAGAGAGTTCAGGCGGTTCAGGGGTGCTATCGCGCAGCTAGTGAAGGGCTTCAATCGGCTGTTGGGTTGAGGATTTCAGGGTGTGGGGCTTCAGGGTTTAGGCTTCAACCGCCGCCCCATCCAACCTTCTTGCCAGCTGAGAGGCTGCAGATGGTATGGACGAGAGGCTGATATCCGGCTTTGGTATTGTAGAGGACGTCGCTGGCCTCAGGAGAAAATGAGGGTGCAAAGCACCCCCAGCTTGGCTATTGGCACCTGGCTTTATACGGTTTTGGGCTTAGGGTGCGGAGTGTAGGGCAAACTAAGGCGTATAGGGCTTACAGCACAGAACCGCAGAGTAAGATGCAGACACAGGGGCCAGAATCACGTCAAACCTCGGCCATCATGGTGGTGAGGCTTCAGTGTCTTTAGGGCTTTGGGGTTCAGGTGCTTAGGGAATAAGCACGAGAGAAGAGGACTGAAGTGTGAGACGAGGGAATGTTGCTCTCGATGTTTCGGGTCGCGAGTCCAGGGTTGCAGGGCTCTCACCACCCTACACCCTAAACCCTATAAAGGAAAGTCTCGTCGATTGGAGCTCAGCAGAGACATCCCGCTTTTAGGGCTTAGGTTTGAATTCTGGCTTTAAGGCCCCAGAAGAGTCTCACGTTAAACGCCCTTTATCTAAAGGAACCCTAAGAGTGGTGTACATAACCATAAACCTCAAACTCTACTTGGAGGGCGCATAATGAGAAGTGGTTAGACCTACCACCCAGTCGTCTGGGGCTACAACTTGCTACAACTGTCGTCATCCTGCTTATGGCCCTGCTACCCATGCACCTCCAAGTAAACTTGAACCCCCAAAAGTTCAAACGCGTAACGCTCTACAACCCGAAAAGCTCTAACGACCGGATTCCTCATAAACCCCAAAACCCGACCTTCCAAGCCTTCAAACCTCCTAAACTTAACCCTCAAACCCTCAACCCTTGCCCTGGAAACCCTAAACGCTAGTCAAACCCCAGCAGTGCCAGGTGACGTACCCTGCGGCTCCTTCCCCCATGCCAGCTCAGCTACCGCTAGCGCCCTTGGCCGAAGCAGCGCAAAGACTTTTGGGTTTAGGGTCTAGGGTTTAGGGTTGTTTTAGGGCTTAGGGTTGTTTGGGGTTGAGGCCGTAGAGTTGTTTAGGGTCTACGGCTTTGGATTTTGGGGTTTCATGGTCGCTCATTGACCGCGCTTGCAGGGTATGAGGGCACGAGCACCGACAGGTAACATGATGAGAGAACTGCCTGGCATAGGGATTCGGAAGGGTCTAGCTCTCAGATTCAAGGTCTCTGCCGCAAGCAAAGCGAAGGGGCTTTGATTCCGGGTAGCTGATAATGTTGAGTTCAGTTCGTCCCCAAAGTCAAAGCCTGAACCCTAAACCCTAATCTAAGCCCTAAGCCCTAAGCCCTAAGCCCTAAGCCCTAAGCCCTAAGCCCTAAGCCCTAAGCCCTAAGCCCTAAGCCCCAAGCCCTAAGCCCGACCCGAAGCCCTAAGCCCTAAGCCCTCAGCCCTAAGCCCTAAGCCCTAAGCCCTAAACCCTAAACCCTAAACCCTAAACCCTCACCCTACACCCTAAGCCCTAGAAAACATCCGGGAAACTTCCGACCATTGACCAAGCGCCGCACGGGTTCTCCGACGCCTCACGCTGGAGTTGGGATGCCACCGCTCCCCTGTCCTCCCAGGGTTTCCGAAGAAGTTTAGGTTTTGGGGCTTGGGGTCTTAGGGTTTAGGGTTGGCCTGCGCCTGCCTTGGGGTCTCTATGATCATAACACTGCGATAGTTCAAAGGGGTTCAAAACTTAGATCAACCGCACATGAGCCGATTTAGTGGGATACTTCGACCCCCAAAAAAGGCGCTATATTATACATGTAGTACTGTACCCTAAACCTAGATAAACCATTTGGGAACTCCAAAAAACAGAACTAGGCAAGGCTGCAGATTTTTGCATCCAGACTCCACGCGAACCGGGTTTAGGCTCCAGGGGGGCATAGATTTCAACCATCGCCAACATGATTCCGAGTCGGAACTATATATGCTTTAGAACCCCTAAACCCTAAACCCTAAACCCTAAACCCTAAACCCTAAACCCCAAACCCCACAGCCCGTAAAACCGCCCGCAGTCCCCGCAGTCGCTCCGTCAGCACGACGCCCGACGCGCCCGCGGAGAGCGCCGCCAGACCCACGCGCACCTCATCTGCGGGCTTGGCCTTCTTGGGTTGCTAGGGCTTAGGGTTTAGCGTTTAGGGTTTAGGGTTTAGGGTTTAGGGTTTAGGATTTAGGGTTTAGGGTTTAGGGTTTAGGGTTTTTGGCTTCTCGGGTTGGTAGGGCTTAGGGTCTACAGGACTTCCTATAGGGTTTAAACGGCTTGTGGTGTTTCTGGGGTTTGTCCAGGTTATAGGGTCTACAGGGTTTACAGGGCTTGTAGGGTGTAGGGTCTCACGTGGTTTACAGGGTTTACGGGTTTTTGTCATGGGATGTTGGGGAGGTAGTCTGAATCAGGGCCGCTTCTGGAGGATCCTAAACGTTTCTTGTTCTGGTCCAAGGGGAACCCAACAAAGGCCCCACGCTCTAAACCTACAGCCAGAATGATCTGATTTATAGTCCACGCTTGAAACCCTAAACCCTAAACACTAAACCCAAAACCCGACACCGTTTATTGGGGATTTCGGTTGAAGGCTTGCGATTGGACACTGAGGAAACACCTAAGCCCTGTAAACCCTGAGCCCATACACTCGAACCCTAAACCCTAAACCCTAAACCCTAAACCCGAAACCCTAAATGCCCCAAGAATCCTTCAAGTAGATCCTAAGGTGCCGACGTTCCCAGATCCCAACTCGAGCACAGAACGCGACTGAAGCCTGGCGCAGCAGACAAGGATTCAGGGAGTTTAGGGGTTTAGGGCTGATAACAGTTTATAATGAATCGGGGCTTAGGGTTTAGGGTTTAGGGTTCAGGGTTTAGGGTTTATACTGAAATCTAGAATACCTTTACGGGGGAATGTACATAGGGGATGCCAGTGTCGTCCCATCTTTCGGCCCGAACCAGCATTGTTCGGCTGCGCTGGTGTCTGGGATGCCCTGATTTCGCGACACGCGGTAGGGGTTGAGGAACCCTCAACTCTAAAGCCAAAACGCGGTATTCAATTTGGGCTTGAGATGTAGGAATTAGGGCTTCGAGTCGTGCGCTCGCGATGGGACCAAGGAATTGGTGCGTGGTCCTCGTTTCCCAACACAAACCCTACAAGCCCTGAAGCAGGGAAGACTCATGAGCGAGCACCCCGCAGAAGTTCCTAAAAGTACCTACGCCTGCCAGCAAAACTTCTGAACTCTACCTATAGGACTCAGGGTGAGTTTGACAGGACCTACAAGAGCAGACCCTTAGCCCACAATGAAAACGAAGGGAATACTTGCTCTTAAGAGCCTCCTCTCTCTGGGTAGTTGCCAAAAAGTAGCTCTTGCTAACAAGGCCTGAATGAAACCTTCAGAGTGTACCTCATTGGTGCATTGCGAATTTTACTCCCACGGGTCAGCTTCTTCTGCAGTGCCCTAACCCTAAAGCCTAAACCCTAAACCCTAAACCGAGCCTAAACCCTAAACCCTAAACCCTAAACCCTAAACCCTAAACCCTAAACCCTAAACCCTAAACCCTAAACCCTAAACCCTAAACCCTAAACCCTGAACCCTGAACCCTAACCCTAAACCCTGAACCCTGAACCCGGAATCATCAACTCACTCCTTCCCGCCTGCGCCCAATCTCGGGACAGCTGAGTGCTAAAGCCAACGCCTTGCAAACTAAGCGAAGGACGGCTTTCCCGGGTTGCCTTTTGCTTTTGAGCTAGGCGATAGGATTAGGGGAATGTTGGGGATGTAGACCCTCTGAATAAGGTCCCTGTGTAAGAGAGCCAGAAGAGGGTTCAGAAGGGTTCCCTTTTAAGGCAGGGTCCCCCTTATCCTACCTAGGATGAGCACAGGGTTTAGGGTCTATAGGGCCTAGGTTCAAGGCTGCTGGCTGCACTCCAGGGTAAGGTGTAAGTAGCCCCCGGCACGCAGCTAGGGTTTCGGGCTTAGGGTGCGCGCTGGGTCAGCCTCAGTTACACACGATGAGCCGCCCTCTAGACCTCTGCCACCGAACGCCCTGACGAGACAGCAATGAGCCCAACATATCGAGGCCCAGAGCCCCTGGAAGCTCAAAAACCGCTGACAAAGCCAAACCTCCCTGAAAAAAAAAAGTCATGTACTTCAATCATCCCCACTCTACAGCTATAGCCGATGTGGGAGCGATCCGGTACTTAAGGAGTCTTCGCCGCAGGGAGCAACTTCTAAACCTTACATCCTTATCATGAGCTAGCACGACTTGAAATGACTCTGACGAGGGTACGCCTGCCAGAGTGCAAGAACCCGGTCGCAGACATCCGGATGTGTGTGTGTGTGCCATCCGATTTGCTCAACGCAGCCATCTTCTCTGAAAAGAAAAACACTTAATCTCACTTAAAGAACTGTTTTTATAGGGACTCACTGACCCCTACAAATGGGATCAATGAGGGCATCGGATTCATAGGTTTTCCAGGGCCCTAGGGTTTGTAGAGCTTATAGGCTTTGGGAGTTTAGGGTTTGTAGGGTTTAGGGTTTTGGGGTCTAGAGTCTAGGGCTAGGTAGGGTCTATACAGTTTATAGAAGGTTTAGGGCTTTCGGATTTAGGGTGTGGATCATCTAGGGTTGGCTTAGAACAGGGTACCCTTTTGGGGTTGGCCTACTAAAGTCTACAAGCTGTTAGTAGGGAATGGGGGAAGTAGGAACCTTTTATATCCCCATGCTCTATCTATCAATATACATATACACATACACATACACATACACATACATATACATATACATATACATATACATACACATATACATATGCATATACATATATATGTACATCATTTAAGGCTTCTATTTTGGGTACATAATCCCTCATTCCCTGCTAGGAACCAGCAGGTAGGGCACCACTCAGGGTCCGAGAGGGTCGATCCCCGGGCCTCCCCTGCTGGCCAGGGATGAGATCCAGTTCCGTCGACTCCTGGGTGGGGTGTGGGTTTTAGGGTTTAGGGTTTAGGGTTTAGGGTTTAGGGTTTAGGGCTTAGGGCTTAGGGCTTAGGGCTTGGGGTTAAGGGTTTAGGGTTTCGGGCATAGGGTATCTAGAGGGCTATGAGGGGACTTATCAGGCCTAGAAGGTCTTCAGGATGTTTTCCGCCGAGGCTTTCCGCTTCGCTCAGGATCTTTCGAGGTTTTTCGGGGTTTTCGGGTCCAGGGCTTTCGGGTCCTGTGGGGTTCTTGGGCCTGCAGGGGCATAGAAGCTTTGAGGGCCGAGGATTCAGGAACAAGGTTCCGGCCCGAGAGCCGCACGGCTTTTTGGTGTAGTGTTTTGGTCAGAACGCTCAGGTTCTTGCTGGCTGCGTTTCCAAGTAAAGTGTTATCAGTATATAGTACCCAAAACGGTTCCACCGTGAGTTGAAAGGCTCAGGGCTTCAGAGCAGCAGGGCCCCAGAGGTTTGGCAGGCCGAAGGTTTGAGGGTTTCGCGGGGAAACGCCTGAACACTAACCTTCCAAAGTTTTAGGGCTTAGGGTTTTAGGGTTTAGACCCTATAAGCCCCAAAAGTCTGAGCCCCAAAACCCTAAACCGGCTCAATGCGCAAAGCCACCATCCTCCACGCAGGGATCGCCCTCGCTGCTCTCCTCCTGGAGGGGCGTTTGGGCTGAGGGGCTTCGGAGTAAGGCAGGAGGGCCTAAACCCTAAACCCTAAACCCTAAACCCTAAACCCTGGCAAAAAAGTATATACTTTATGGGAAGCCCGGGAGCCCAAAGCCCGGTAAGAGCCGATGTCTCTGCAAGTGAGGCAAGATGATTAAACCCTAGATTATCGGATTTAGGGTTTAGGGCTATGCGACTTCAAGTGGGCTTGAGGATGTAAGTTTGGGGGGTTTCTTGCGTATCGGACAGTGACTGTGCTGTCTGCCAGGTCGGCACGAATTACACCGTGTCTTGGGTTGCCTTAAAGCCGGAGCCCTTAACGCAAAGGCTTTGGATTCATGCGTGGCAGGGGTCTCTCCTTTACTTTCTGCCTGGGGAGAGATAGACCCGGAAACCCTCGACCCTGAAACGCAAGGGTAGGGGGCCAACCAAACTTTGGTCAACAACCCACCCACATAGACCAGGGCTTCGGGTTCTTGGCCCTCTCCCTCCTCGCCGCCTTCTTCCATAGCGTGCCGGGGCAAGGCCACAGGCAATGTGAAGGGGGCGGTCCGATTGTTTGAGGGTTTAGGGTTTAGGGGTTAGGGGTTAGGGGTTAGGGTTTAGGGTTTAGGGTTTAGGGTTTAGGGTGTAGGGTGTAGGGTTTAGGGTTTAGGGTACTTCCCAAAAGGACCCGACCGCATGGGACCTTGATAGCCACCGTGAACCCTAACCCTGATCCTTTAAACTCCAATCCACCTGAGTCGGTTGTTTACATGTAGGGGCTCGCGAGCGCAGGCTTTGGGACTTTTGTTTTTAGGGGCAGACGTCGAAACCAGGTTGGCGGGTTAAGGGTTCTAAGGGGTGCAGAGTGAGCCGAGTTGGGCTTCTAGGTTCGACACACATATACCTACATAACATGACAGCGTTTGTAGGTATATCTATATGTAATATATATATATATATATATATATATATATATACACAGCAATATATCTGTGTATATATATACACACCTATATACATAACGTGCATGTGTATATAGCTATACATGGCAGCACACATTGTAGGCTGCGACGTACGCGCGACGGCGACCACTACATGCAAACCATGCCAGTCGGACGACCGCGGGGAGGCCCAGGCACCCCTGGCCGACTCGTTCGGGGCTGAAGGCTTTCAGAGCTTACAGTTGTGCTGCTTTGAAGAGTTTGATGATCCTTTGTCTTTTTGGACAACTGCATGTGAAACATCACCAAGATCCATGCAGTCCAGGGCTTTGCACCAAGTGGGGATGGATTAATGGAACCTCGACAAGGGTTAATGATAATGATCCTTATTTGCATATGGAGAACAACGAGCCCAACCCTCAGCCCTAAACCCGAGAAACCCTAAACCCTGCAATCCTCCAATCTGGGACAAGTTTGTTGTGAATCCTCTCAAACCTGAGACCGAAAATAACTTGCCCCCTCCCCCCGGCACCCCTGAAGCCTCCGAATTCATCAGGTCCTTAAGGGGGGGGGGGGGGGGGGCGTTCTCAGGTGAGCGAGGGAGGTTGGGCTTAGGCTCCGGGCTCAGGTGCCTAAAGAACCATGAAAGGGGGTCAAGGGTACTTGTGTTCCGGGACTAAAGGCGAAACCCTGAGGAGATTCCCCGACGCCTTGAGGGGCCGGACCCTGCTGCAAGTGTTGGGCCAGGTCGGCAGCAGAAAGCACCTCAGCAGGGTGAAACTGAACCTTCAACCCTTGAGGAGGTGTTTCGGGTTTAGGGTTTAGGGTTTTGGGGGGGGGGGGGGGGGGGGGGGGCTGCAGTGCACATTGCCCTGATCCCTCACCTGCTGCTGTGCTCGCAACTACTAAATCTGGGAGTACCTGAGACTAAACTTGAGACAAACCTTTGCATTGTCGAAAGCCCTAAAACCCTAAAGAAGGCCTCTTCAGAAAGGAGACGGAACATCGAGCGTCTAAACGGCTCCCTACTTGTGAGGGAGGCATAAACCCCACCGAGCCCCTGCTGCTGAGGGCGGCGCGGGAAGCCTACAGACAAACCCTAAAGCCCTAAACCCTTTGGCCCCAACTACAGCACCCTGGAGACCTCCAACCCTTCCCCCTAATGCAACCACCCCCCCCCCCCCCGTCCCCTAACTTAAAAAAAGTACGTTCGCAGGACTCCCCCCCCCCCCGCCCTCTCCCGAAATCCAGCGCGGTGCTGAAACTGTTTGAGAAGTAGGAGCTCGCACACGGATTACATATCAACGCATCATGCTACCGACCGAAGTAAACCTAAGCCCTGGACCCTGAACCCTTGGATTCCCAGAAACTCCATCTTGTCTCATACCTCTGAACTAGTTCATTGTTGGGATAGTATGAAAAACGTGAAAAATGCGTCTATTCCTTATTGAGTTTAAGTACCCTCAAACATGTAACAAACTACCCCACTATGACAAAGTGAACCAATATGGTTTAGGGTGCTCAGGGTGTTTAGGCCGTACAGGCTCTGCCTCCTGGGACAGAACACGTCGCAAGCCGGCAAGGGGCAGGAATCACGTTGCTCGACGATCTATACTCCAAGAACCACCCCCCCCCCCTTCGCCCTAAACCACAAACCCTAAACCCTAAACCCTAAACCCTAAACCCTAAACCCTAAACCCTAAACCCTAAACCCCTTCAAACCTCAGCACGGAGCTCCAGACATCCAACGATAGCCGCCCCAAACTCACAACCAGCGACTCAACCCGGAATGAAACTCCAAGCCTCCTGACGACCGGCTTCGCCTCAACAAAACTATCTGAAGGTTCAGAGGCAGTTCGATCTGAAAGTACCCCAAACAAGGTTGTTTGCCAACCAACAGTTGCTCTACTTCTAAGCCTATTTCTAGATGACCCTTAAAACCCTCTGAAGTACATTCCTGAATAAGATCCTCTGAAGCCCAGAAAAGGAAAAATATAGAACGTCCCAAGGGCCTACCGAGGGAAAAAAAAACCCAAACCTTGGGGACCCCTGCTGCATCAGGCAACTGCTCCCCGGCCCGTGAGGCCCGGAGTGCTGCAACCTCCTGGAAAAGTATTTTTTCAAGGTCGTGGGGTTTAGGGTTTAGGGTTTAGGGCTTTAGGGCTCTAGGGGTTAGGGTTTAGGGTTTTAGCACTACACGTGCATGAAACAAACCGCCGCCACCAACAAGCAAACCTTACCACGGGACCAGCCGCAAGATCTTCCCCCGGTCCTCTTCCAAATTCTGCCGCAGCTGTTGCTCCTTAGCAAGGTGCAATCATGATGAAGTCCTGACTGGGCTGCCCAAACCGTCAAATCCCCAAACCCTAAACCCCAAGCTAGGGGAGCGTCAACCTCCACGACTCCAAAACCGAAGTCGCAGGGATTATTTGAGGGATGGAAGAAACGTTGGGGAGGCGCCTGTATCATAAAGACACCGGCAGGGGGGGAATGCAAGAAAGACCTGTATGAGCCCAGAGAAGGGGAAGATGAGCCCCTTAGACCCTTTCGAGCCCTAAACCCTGATCCCTAAACCCTAAACCCTAAACCCTAAACCCTAAACCCTAAACCCAAGCACGCCCGGGAGCCTCTTCGGGGCTTGAGGGGCTCAGCGAGTTTGCCCCCGCCTCCTGGAGCAGTAGCTGCAGCTGACTCGACCGCTGAAGCTCCGGCCGCAGCGCCTCTTCACAGGGCTCGGGGGTTGAGAGGAGTTAGCGGGTTTTCGGGGGATTAAGGGGATTAAAGGGGTTCAGGGGTTGAGAGAGGTTAGCGGGTTTTAGGGGGATTGAGGGGATCAAAGGGGTTCAGGGTTGAGAGGGGTGAAAGGGGTTAGGGGATTAAGGGGATTAAAGGGTTTAGGGGTTGAAGGGGATTCAAGGGGTTTAGGGGATTAAGGGGATTAAAGCGTTTAGCAGTTAAAGGGGATTAAAGGGGTTTAGGGGTTAAAGGGGATTAAAGGGTTTAGGGGTTAAAAGGAGTTAAAGGAGTTTAGGGGTTAAAAGAAATTAAGGGGGTTCATATGGGGGCTTAGGTGTTTCGGTTCCGGTCGCTTCCTGTAGTTGAGGAATAATTAGATAGCTGAAGTCGTACAAAGCACGTCACGGTTAGTTAGAAGTAGCGTTCAAGGAATGGTATCTACAGTTGCAGTTTTACATAGGGTACCTATCATCCTACTTATCTTGCTGCACGATACTAACATACACTAACCGTAAAGGCAGTTCAAAGACCCGACAGCATAGCTTAATAGTCGGGCCAAACCAGCCCAACGCCCTACACCCTAAACCCTAAACCCATGTTTCGATCGGCCAGCGCATTGTTATCGTTCGGGGCGCCTTTGGCTTGTAAACTGCTTGGGGGGCTTACAGGGGCGTTTCTTCTACTAGGTTCTCGCAAAAAAACAACTGCAGAGGGGGAGTTCAAGTAGCTTGTACTCACAGGACATTGGGCCTTTTCGGTCCTATGCCCTGAACCCTGGTTCAGGGTTCAGGGTTCAGGGTTCAGGGTTCAGGGTTCAGGGCTCAGGGTTCAGGGTTTAGGGTTTAGGGTTTAGGGTTTAGGGTTTAGGGTTTAGGTTTCAGCACGCAAGGGCTCCATGGAACTTGGGGTTCTTCCACAGTGGGCTGGCTTGACGTGCCTTGGTGAGGTTCTACAAGGGCTTTTCGGGCTCAGGACTTTAGAGTGTACAGGGTCTAAGGAATTCCAAACCAGGGTCGGAACAGCATCATTGCATCCTGACGAGAACACGCCTGCGAGCCCGAGTAGCAAGCGATGGATCTGGTGAAGTACGGAACTTGTCTCCAGGCCCCCTCTCCCGGCCTGATCACGGGCCTCCAACTTCTCACACCTGTTGTTGGTTCAGGCTCTGCGGCTTTTGGCGTTGGGGCTTCGGTTTGAGGCTAAGGGTGTGGTGCCCGGGTGCATTGACTAACAATGGGCCCCATGGAAGAAGGCAAGGGGCCTAAGCCATAAAGTGCCCAACAAAAGGGGAGTATGGGTGCATAGAGGTTTCAGATTTAGGTTCGATATGCTTGATTGGTTTGGGTTTAGGGGGGCCTTTTGCGCTTTCTTTTCTTTCTTGGGGGGGGGGGGGGGGGGGGGGCGGGCACGGGGAGAGGACATGGCTGTTGATGATTTGGATCGAAGCTTTACCAGGGCTTTTGAATGCTTTCGGGCTTCAGGATAAGCCTCAGAGTCACAATGCATGGGGTTCACCCGGCGTACAGCAGTATACTTAGGTAACTGGTAACGGTAATCCCCTAAACACTATAAACCCCTAACCCTAAACCCTAAACCCTAAAAGATGCTAAGAACTGCTGGCAAGGAAGGTTGTCGGTAGCAAGCGCCCCTAAAACCTGAAGCCCCTCCCTCGCAACTCAATGACGCGGAGCGGCCGCTGCTGGAGCTGACGCTTTGCAGCCTCATCGGGGTTTAGGGTTTAGGGTTTAGGGTTTAGGGTTTAGGGTTTAGGGTTTAGGGTTTAGGGTTTAGGGTTTAGGGTTTAGGGTTTAGGGTTAGTAAGGCATGGACCAGGAGCCGTCGTAACCTTGCCCTATACAAGGCCCATGCTGTATACCTTGCACAACCCGCACCCTACATCCCATTTAGGGTTTAGGGTTTAGGGTTTAGGGTTTAGGGTTTAGGGTTTAGGGTTTAGGGTTTAGGGTTTAGGGTTTAGGGTTTAGGGTTTAGGGTTTAGGGTTTAGGGTTTAGGGAGTTGGCTTGAGGTCTGTTTTTTAACGCCCCCTCCCTCCGCAACCCGGAGCCCCAGTATGAAAACCCACCCAGCAGATGCGACTTGAAGTAGCTTACTTGACATGAGCCTCGGCCGGCGTGGGATAGGGAAATAGGGGCCCGCAACTCCGCAAAGCGGCAACCCTGAACAGTCAACCTCAGACTTTAAGAGCGCTAAACTTCGAATGAAGTCAGAATACCCCAAACTCCCTAAACCCTAAACCCTAAACCCTAAACCCTAAACCCCAAACCCTAAACCCTAAACCCTAAACCCTAAACCCTAAACCCTAAACCCTACTCTCCCTGAGGCTCCTCCGAGTTGGAGAGGCGCTGTCGGAGCTCATGTACCTCGACATGGCTTGGGGCATGCTTCTAGGCTGGCCTGCGCAAAGCCTCTGAAGCAACATGTAGGGTTTAGGGTTTAGGGTTTAGGGTTTAGGGTTTAGGGTTTAGGGTTTAGGGTTTCGGGTTTCGGGTTTACTCATGGATAAATTCCTCTTCGAGCCAGCATCCTAAGCCCGCAACCCTAAACGCCTCAGGGCCTTACTTGAAGTTTCGAAGTGAAGCGCATCGCTTTGAGCGGCTTGGCCGAGGGTGTGAACGTGCTTGGGCTTAAGTTGAGGCTTAACCACAAGACATCGAAAGCCACCGAAGCCTTGAAGCCCGAAACACCCCCTCATGTGAGGGCGGGGGGGGGGGGGGGGGGGGGGGAGGGAGGGGAGCTCGGAAAATCGGACCGATCAGGGGGGCAGTATTGGCAATCGTTTTAAGCAAGGCTCAGTTGGCTCGAATTACGGCTCACGCAGACCCGAAACCCTATAGACTCTAAATCCTATGGAGCCTGGCAACTCCACCCGTTGACCATTGACCGCTCGTGCGCCTGCAAAGTCACGAACGCACAAAACCCAAAGTCGTCAACAACGGCCTCTGCGCAAGTCCAGCTTCTACACCCCTAGATCCCCAAAGCCGAAACCGCAAACCCTCCCCGAAAAACACATTCATGATTTAAACGGTACAGCTAACCCATTAACTTTCTAGAAAAAAGTAACCTGAGTCTAACCCCTTAGCTTAAACCCTTAACCTATACAGCAGCTCCCACAAATCATCCTCAAGCCACTGCAGCGGTCGTCGACGCCAAGGCCAGCTGAAGCTCAGCATCTGACGGGCCGAGGAGCTCCAAACCCCCAAGGGTTTAGGGTTTAGGGTTTAGGGTTTAGGGTTTGGGGTTTGGGGTTTGGGGTTTAGGGCTTGGGGTTTGGGGTTTGGGGTTTAGGGTTGAAGGCTTCGCCGGAACTCTCTTTAAGAAAAGCACCCTCTAGAGCCGCGTGGCTAAGTATAGTGCCTTCGGCTGACGGGGCCCCTCAACCTACCTTGAAACCGGCGCCTGAACCTTACTTGGGAACGCCCTACCCCCCAAACGTATTCCGAGACCCCACAACCAGGGCCCAAGTACTCAAGTAGTGTTTAGGGTCAAGGGTTTCCGTAGGATTTGTTCGTGGCTAATGGAATTAACGAGTATTTCGGTTGCCCTAGGCCCGAAAGAATGAGGACCTTGCGACTATCAGTACGACCTTTCACAGCTCTTTCTTCCGGTGTTTGGTTAACCAACAAACTCTTACCCATATTCCCTTGTGTTAGTGTTAAGTCAGTCAACAAACGATGGACATTCCAATACGTCATGGCCTTCTCCGCTCCGGTCAGGGGTTGGAACAGAGATCTTCGGAGGACACTATCGACACAGATCTTTCAGACCAGGACCTCGCTCCTCTTGTTCCCACTGAAGCCATCATGTGCAGGCATCCACAATCTGCAGAAGACGCTTCACTTTTAAAATCCATGGCGGATGCCCGTGCTAGGGCCACCTTCGTTAGGAAGCCCATTGCCATCTTGGTCTGGAAGGGCTGTAGGTGTATGCCTCGTCATACGTGAACTCTTTGCAGTCTCAGGCAACTGGCGAAAACCAAACCGCTAAGGCCCCAAGGTCCTGTAATTCCTACCCCGGTCTGCACACGTCGGCAGTTTGGAGTTCAGGATTCAGGGTGGGAGGCTTAGGGTGTAGGGTTTAGGGCCAGCGTTTAGGGTTTTCCCAACCCCAACACCTCCCTGAACCTCCCTGGGAAGTGAACCTGGGACCCTACAGGATCAAAACACACTTGAGGGTTGAGCGGAATCTTAAACAAGACGCTTACTGCTGGTTAGCTGGAGGAATGAGGTACCCTCATTCCCCCATTCCCTGCTAGCCAACAGTAAGGTTAAGGAATCGGAGGGCGAATCGTGGGTTCTGGATCTCAACAAAAAGAAGAGGCCCTGCCAGGTCTCACTCCCAATCCTTGCGTCCCCCATTTCCTCTAAGCTTTGTCGAGACCTGAAAGCCTAAATGTGCTTCGGTTCTAAGGGTTATAGGGACAACCCTGAGCCGTGAACCCTAAACCCCAAACCCTGAACCTTAACCCTAAACCCTAAACCCCAAACCCTGAACCCTAAATCACCTTGAAACCCTCTTTCCCTGGAGCGCCTGGGCTCATCGCCTCACACTCTTGCATCTCCCGCAGCGCCCGCAGCCTCGTCGGTTTGAGCTTAGGGTTTAGGGGTTTAGGGGTTTAAGGTTTAGGGTTTAGGGTTTAGGCGTTTAGGCGTTTAGGCGTTTAGGCGTTTAGGCGTTTAGGCGTTTAGGCGTTTAGGCGTTTAGGCGTTTAGGCGTTTAGGCGTTTAGGCGTTTAGGGTTTAGGGTGTCCCACTACAACTAGAGCAACCGTCGCTAGTACGGACACTCGTGATGACTCCAAAGTAACGTAGAAAAAAGCTGCGAAATGCCGTCCGTGTCGCAGCTCGCCACGCTCGCGGTCCAGCTCTGGCAGCCTTTGCTGGGCCACCTGCTTAGGGGTTTAGGGTTTAGGGTTTAGGGTTTAGGGTTGAGGGTATAGGGTTTAGGGTTTCGGGTTTAGGGTTTAGGGGATATCTAGGGTTGAGGGTTTAGGGTTTAGGGAGGGTTTAGCCAACCTTATCGGCGTCCAAGCTCCGCGTTCTCGAATCCCCCCCCCATCGGCCACCCATGGTATCCACCGGAACCCTAAATCCTGATCCTGAAGCCTGGGAGAGGGCAAGCCCTGAACCCTGAACCTAAACCTTGACCGCCCTAAGCCCTAAACCCAAACTTCACATGAAGCACAGGAACAAAGTGAAAACCAGACCCAAAACCCTAACGCCACCATGAACACAGCTGCGAAAACCTCAATGGGGGGTGCGGGGGGCCTAGACCCACCATGAATCACAGCAGGGGGGGCAAACGGGGGGGGGGGGGGAGGTACTGGGAGAGGGGGGGTGCCTACACCCCAAACCCCAAAGTCTTGCAACTGAACAAACCCAAACCCAAAAGAGCCTGAAACTAATTCACAGAGCCTACGCCCCCAAAAAACCCGAAAAAAAAGAACAACAAATCCCTGAACTCCAAACCCCAACCTCTAAACCCTAAACTCCGAGCCCTAAACTCCGAACCCTTTCTAACCCTAAACACTAAACCCCAAACCCTAAACCCCATACTACCCAAAAAAACCCTAAAACCCTAAACCCCCCAAACCCCCAAACCCCCAAAACCCTAAACCCTAAACCCCAAACCCCAAACCCTAAACCCCCTGAACCCCCAAAGCCCCTAAACCTTCAAACCCCAGCAACTTGGCACCTTTAGCTCGGCCCGGAGGGCGTCGGCGCTCCGGCTCAGCCGCTCGGCCTCCCGAATTTTTTTTCTACGTAAGGGGGCTTTGGGGTTCAGGGTTTAGGGTGTAATTTAGGGTTTAGGGTTTAGGGTTTAGGGTTTAGGGTTTAGGGTTTAGGGTTTAGGGTTTAGGGTTTAGACTTTTGGGGCGCGGGGTGTCTGGGGTTTAGCGGGTTTGGGCTGTAGGGTAGGGTGGGGTTGTAGGGCTTAAGGGTTCAGGGGCCCGAGCCCGAGAATTTAGGGTTTACGCCGGTCTAGGCTATCGTTTGTAGAGTTTTGAGGGGCTCAGGGCTTCGTTGAACCCCACAAAAATGGCGCCACCCCCTTTTCGGCAAGCTTGGAGCCGAGGGGTTTAGGGTTTATGGGGTTTTGGGTTTAGGGTTTAGGGGGTTTAGGGTTTGACTCAAAAAAGTACCTGCCTCTGCTCGCAGAGCTTCCTTCTGCTCCTGCAAGCAGCACATGGTCATTTCAGGAAAGCCGACACAGGAGACTCGACCGAGACTAGAAGTCCAACCCCTATAAACCTCCGAAAGCCGAAACCCTACGCCCGAAACCTTCCCCTGAACCCTGAAAACCAACTACGGTTTAGGGCTTCGGGACTTCTTTCGTCTAGGTTCAAGCTACAGACAAGGGCGGATAAGGACACTAGTGGGCACCACACTAAAACCAAAAACCTAAAAAGACCCTGAGCCCTAAACCCTCAACCCTAAGCAGCACCCTACGTAACCCAGGAAGGGGCGCTGATTCTGGGAGGACGCAGGTTTCGACCCTGAACCTGACACCTGTGGTCCAAGCCTCATCTCCGAACCGACTCCAGCCAAAAACCCAATCGAAACCCTAGCGGGGTTGGAAGTTTCTCAGGGCTTCAGTGTTTTGGGGCTTTGGGGCTGTAGGGGCTATTGGGTAACTAGGCTGCCCAGTAACCAAGGCTTAAAACGGGTGCCCTTTTTTGCTTAACGGGGTTTATAAGGGAACCTAAACCCCCCAAAAAGGGAACAAGGGTACTACTGGGCATCCTAGGTAAAGGACTAACCCCATCGTTCCTCAGCCTCTCGTAGTGCATCGGCGCAGTCCTCAGCTTGGTCTTGGTTGTGTCTTTGCCTGCCTCTGCATGCCTTCGTATATCCGCCCGGTTTAGGTTTTGGGTCTAGGCTTTAGGGTCTAGGTCAGTCTCTCTCTCTCTCTCTGTTGTCTGTCTGTCCTGTCTAACTATGCAGTTTAGGGTTTTTGGGTCTATAACCCTGAACCCTGCGGCCTGAACCCTGGCCTAGAAACCACCAGCCCCAAGACCCCTGAACCCGAAACCCCCAAAACCTGGAGGGTGCTCATGCCGGCCGGGCTCCAGTCGGGCTCGCCGCTCCACCTCGAGCTCAGCAAGCACCTGCGACTGTTGCAGCGGAGGATTTGGGTTTAGGGTTTAGGGCGAGGGTTTAGGGTTAGGGTTCAGGGTTTTGGCTTCAGGGTTGCGTGCTCTCTGGATTTCTACAGGGAGAGAGGCTTACCTTTTGGTCGGATTTTTGTACCTAAGTTGGTTGCAGGTTGAAGTTGTCTTCTCGGCACCTCCTGCCAGGATAGTACAATATCATTTCTTGTGAAGCAAAATACTGAATATGGGCATTTACGAAAGCATAGGCCCCCAAATAGTAGGATGCCCTTATAGTAAGGACCCCAATAAGGTACCCCGAATCGGAGACCCAACTTTCTACTACCAGTCTCTTCACGCCCTAAACCCTAAACCCTTTTCAGGCGGGACAGGCCTCATAGGGTTTTGAGGTGTTTAAGCGGCTTTAGGGTTAAAGGTTCACTCTTCAGGGTCAACGTCTTTGAGCTTGGGGTTTTAGGGTTTCCGGGTTTAGGTTTTAGGTGTTCAGAGGTTTAGGGTAAGGTTAGGGCTTTGGGCGGCAAGCTTGGGGCTTCAGGGTCTAGGGTTTGTGTGGATTTGTGTTTAGTCGGGTTTATGGTTTGACTCAAAAGTACCTGCCTCTGTTCGCAGAGCTTCCTTCTGCTCCTGCGAACAGCACATGATCATTTCAGGAAGCCGCCACAGAAAAACTCGACCGAGACTAGAAGTCCAACCCCTATAAACCTCCGAAAGCCGAAACCCTACACCCGAAACCTTCCTATGAACCCTGAAACCCAACTACGGTTTAGGGCTTAGGGTAAGCCTAAGACCGGGCTTAGGGCAAGGCTAAGACCAAAGCCCTAAAGGACCCTAAGCCCTAAACCCTAAACCCCCCCACCCTAAGCAGCACCGTATGTAACCCAGGAAGCCCGAACTTGACACCTGTGGTCCAAGCCTCATCTCCGACCCCCGACTCCAGCCACAAACCCATGAACTCTAGTGGGCTTTAGGGTGTCTTCAGGGCTTCAGGGTTTTGGGGCTTTTGGGGGGTTGGACGAATGGAGTTCTTGGCTTATAGGGCATTGCAGGGTAGAGGGTTTGCCCTGTCGTTCCTCAGCCTCTCGCAGAGCTCCGGCGCAGTCCTTAGCTTGCTCGCGGTTGTGTCTTTGCCTGCCTCGAGGTTTAGGGTTTAGGGTTTAGGATTTAGGGTTTAGGGTTTAGGTTGTTAGGGTCTAACCCTCTCTCTCTCTCTCTCTCTCTCTCTCTCTTCTCTGTCTGTCTACCTGTTGGAGTTTAGTCTTTAGAGTTAAAACCCTAAACCCTAAACCCTCAACCCCAGCCCCTGAACCCTCGCCTAGAAACCACAAGCCCCAAGACCCCTCAAAACGAAACCCCCAAAAACCAGGAGGGTGCTCATGCCGGCCGGGCTCCACTCGGGCTCGCCGCTCCACCTCGAGCTCAGCAAGCACCTGCAACCAGAGTTTGGAGTTTCAACCCTAAACTCCCACAGGTAGACAGACAGACAAGAGCGAGAGCGAGAGCGAGAGCGAGAGAAAGAGAGACAGAGAGGCAGAAAAAAAGAGAGAGACTTAGTCGCCGATTCCTAAACCCTCGACCCTAAACCCAAAACCTTGTTCAGGGTGTTTAATATGAAGGAGCTTTACGGTTTCAGGGTTTACGGTTCAGGGTTTGCGGCTGTGAGCTTGGGGCGGTTAGGGTTTAGGGGTTTGGGGGTTTAGTGGTTTAGGGGTTTAAGGGTTTATGGGTTTAGGGGTTTAGGGATTCAGAGGTTTAGGGTTTGGGTGTTTAGGGTTTAGGGGTAGGCTCATAGGGATCTCCTGCGCCTCCTCAGTGCAAGGGGCAGGGTGCGGCTCCTCGGCACAGGAGACCTGAGACTGGGCTCTCATGGGTTTATGGGCTTAGGGGTTTGGAGTTTGGGGTTCAAGGGTATAAGTATGGAGAGCGGCCTGTCATGGGGCCTGCGTTTTCCATGGTGCAGGTTTTGCATGGCAGGCCCTTCTGTAAGTGTAAGGGTGTAAGGGTTTAAGCGCTGAGGGTTTGGGAGCCAGGCGAACGAACCAAAATCAGAAGCCTTTGCTTTTGTCAATATTTTCCCCCCCTTTGCTGCCCCTGTTTATATAATACAAACTTCCCCAGAACACAGCATTTAGATCAAGTAGGTCCCTGTTATAGTGCTTGGAAAGGCTCCCCTAGACAAGCAAGTGCAACCTTCTAAACCCTAAACCCTAAACCCTAAACCCTGAATATCCCACGTTTGGAGTGGTTGGGCTTTAGGGGCCATTAGGGCTGAGTTGAGGGCTCACCAAGGAATCGAAATACAAACGGGGCGGCTGATCAACGGAAACGACCCTTTTCTGGTACCCCTAAGCTACGAGGACTCAGGCTATAGATATCGGCCCAAGCCCTTTAAACCCTAAACCCCTAAACCACTCTGAAACCCCAAGCCGTGCAAGGCCGCCAAACCCGAAAAGCACCCCTTCACGAGAGAAACGGTTCAGAGGCCGTACCTGGAGGTTCATGGATGGTTATAAGCAACCCCCAAAATATGGGCTGTCCAGTGATAACTACCACAACTACCCGAAACCCTAGACACTGATTCTACCTATCCCCCCGATACTCCCTAAACCCTAAAACCATAAAACCCTAACACCCTAAAACCCTTAAACCCTAAAACCCTAAACCCTAAAACCCTAAACCCTAAACCCTAAAACCCTTAAACCCTAAAACCCTAAAACCCCAAACCCTAAACCCTAACCCGCTCATGCCAGGACGCCGTGGCCGGGCCATCGCCCACCGACTCCAAACTGGTCGGCCGGGATGCCGCGCCAGGAGGCCGGGCCCAGAGCCTGCTGAGGGCAGTTTCGGGACGGGGTTTAGGGCTTTTAGGGTTTAGGGTTTAGGGTTTAGGGTTTAGGGTTTAGGGTTTAGGGTTTAGGGTTTAGGGTTTAGGGGCTAAACCCTAAACCCTGAGTCCTCAGAAGTTTGGGGTTTAGGGCTTGGGAGATCAGGAGTTCATGGGCGGATGTGAGGGGCCTGGGGGTGTTTTGGGCCTTTCCGGGCTCTAGTTGTTTTTGTTTAAGGGCTTTTGGGCTTAGGTTTAGGAATTTGGGTTCTTCGTTTTTGCTAAGGTTTGGGCGTTCGGGCTACGACTTAGAAGATTTGTTCTGCTGTGGAGCTTCCCCATGCCCTATACCCTAAACCCAAAACCCTAAAACCTAAACCCTAAACCCTAAACCCTAAACCCTAAACCCTAAACCCTAAACCCTAAACCGGAAGGGCACCCTTTTTGTGGTCATGTTCCCAAGACACAGGATCCCAAGAGACCCGGAGTCCCTGAAGTTCTGAGCCTCTAAACGTAGGGTTTAGGGTTTACAAAAATTTATGTCCAGCCCTAAACCCTAAACCCTAAACCCTAAACCCTAAACCCTAAACCCTAAACCCTAAACCCTAAACCCCTGTCTATGCTGCTCTCCGAGCAGCTCGTCCGCCACGTCCGCCGCGAAGAAGTCCGGGAGCTGCCGGGCGCTGCCGGCACTCCAGGACTCGGTCAGGCGCACCTCTTTTGAGGGGTTAAGGGTTTAGGGTTTAGGGTTTAAGGTTTAGGGGGTTAGGGTTTAGGGTGTATAGGGTTTGTTGGATCTATAGGGCTTCCAGGGCTTAGGTTTGGGTGGCTTTGTCCAGGGCGCTAGGGAATTTGAAAGCTCAAAGAATCAAGGGCTCGCTCGGGTGTTTCGGAATTTCAGGGTTCCGGGTCTTGAGGGTTTAGGGCGTGAAGGGGAGTTCAGGGGCTAACGGTTTTTCTACCGTTTGGCAACTTTCTGGGTGGGGGGCTAGAGAGCTCCCGGTCTTCTGAGGTTGCTGCGGGTTGAGGGTTTAGGGCGTACAAGGTTTAAATCCTACATTGCTGGGCTTTTGAGGCCGAACTCCTAAGCCCTGCAACACCCGAAACCTAAAGGCCCCGAAAATGTCTGGTGCCGGGTTGAGGGTTTAATGTTTAGGGTTGAGGGCTTTATGTTTGGGTTCTTCGTTTCGGGCGAAGCGGCCTCACGCAACAGGAGCTTTGCTGCTGCCAGAACGTCCTGTGAACAGCGCCCTAAACCCTAAACCCGGCTTAAGGTTTAGGATGTGGGGTTTAGGTTTAGGGTTTACGATTTAGATCTGAATGGAGTTGTCGTTTCGTGCACCTGCAGCCTTCGGAGGCTTCGTTTGGAATTGGGTTGAATTCTCCCTACGTTCAAAGAAGTGAAGCCTTAAACCCTAACCAGACTTAGGTTCCTGAGGCTACAATTCGGCTTCCTGCAAACAAACCTGGGTTCTTACTAAGAAACGGCCGACATCGGGTTGGTGAATGCCAAGGCTGGCCCTTAGAGCCCTCTGCACGATGATGTTCCTAAACCCTATGAGCCATAAACCCTAAACCCTAAACCCTAAACCCTAAACCCTAAACCCTAAACCCCCTAAACCCTCAAACCCCAAACCCTCAAAGCCCCAAGCCCCTGAACCCTGGACCCTGTGGCAAGTGTGCAGCATTCCCGGGCCTAGCCCGAAACCCTAAACCCACCTAGGGTTTAGGATGTAGGGTTTAGGGTTTAGGGTTTGCGGTTGAGGGTTTAGGATTTAGGGTTTGCCCCCACCCACTCACCGCCCCCACCCGGCCCGTCCTTTGCCCCGCGCCGCTGCTCGCTTAACTCCGCGTCAGAGCCTCTGGGCGCTCGCGATCAGGGGTGTAGGGCGCTTCAGGGCTTAGGATTTAGGGCTCTGGCAGTCTGTGGAGCAAGTTCGGAGTTTAGAGCTTCGGCTTTCTTAGTTAGGTTCTGAGGAAGAGGCAGTTTCTAGAGATTTTGAACTTGTTGCTCCGGGCTAAGCTGGAACCTACCTATATGCCTGTAGCCCTGGCGCCACTTTTAACTTTCCTGGGCTTTGGTTTATGGATGAGGGTTTAGGGGAAGATTAGGGCTTCGGTTTCTATAGCACCCTGGCCGGAGAAAAATCCTGCAAAGGTCTGCCACCAACCTGCCCAACTTAAACGAAGCCCAAACCCAGCATGCTACGATACCGACTCTCCGACGTCTTGCTTGCATTCAGGGACAGTTCGGGGTTCGGGCCCCTGGACCCTAAACCCTAAACCCTAAACCCTGAACCCTGAACCCTGAACCCTTGTGGTTCTGAAAGGAGGACGGTCCTTCAGTGTCTGAGTCCAGCCGGTAGTTCGCCGCCGAGGGCTCCGAAGACTTCCCAGACCTGGCCTTGCCTGAGACATCGAATGAACGGGCCGAGAAAAGTTAGGGTCGGGTTTTGGGGGTTTGGGGGTTTGGGGTTTAGGGTTTACGGTGGGAATAGGGTGGGTGTGGGGGGGGGGGGGGGTTTGGGGGGGGGCTTTGGGGGGGGGGGGCGGGGGGCCAGGTACCAGGCAAGCAGGTAATTCCTGATACTCTCTACTGCTCGATCATTGATGCCGTAAACCTTGAGCCCTAAACCCCAAACGTTCGAACGTTCGGGGACCCTCCTGACTCGCATAAGTCGCATAGGATCCTAAAGGCCGATGAGAACCTACAAGACGTCCAGCACTCGAAGGCCAGAAGCCTTATACGAGGGATTCTGACCATCCTCAGAAACTGATGTTTACTCACCTTTCTATAATAACTGGGAAAAATAGGAGCAAACTAAAACGATCCCTAAACTCCTAGACCCGTGAACTTGCAAACACCTAAACCGGTGAATACTCTCTGTAGGCCCCGGAGCCCCCATCCTATACCCCACATCCCAAACCATAACCCCAAACCCTAAACCCCAAACCCTAAAACCCTGAACCCTGAACCCCTACAAGCCCCAAGGCTCTCCCTTTGCTGGGGGCCCCGGCGGACTGGAACGCCACGTGCAGCCAAGAAGGCGCGCGCTGCGGCCATGAGCCACTGGGGCGCCTGGCCAAGACTTTAGGGGTTTAGGGTTTCGGGGG